CTAATTTTGTATAATATTAATTTAAGTAAATTATATTATACTTAATATTACAATATATTATATTATATACTTAATATTAGTAAATTTACTAATTTTATATAATACTAAATATTACTAACAAAAATATTATAAATTTTGAAAGTAAAACAAGAAAATGTGAGTTTACATGTTACTATTAAAATTATATTCAGAATATATATTATTAAACTTATATTCTGAAAATTATAAAAATTATATTATTAAAATCATATTCAGAATATATATTATTGAAATTATATTCTGAAAATTATAGAAATTACATTATTAAAATCATATTCAGAATATATATTATTAAAATTATATTCTGAAAAATCACAGAAATATGATTTGAAAAATTTTGGTAGTTGGACCGCGTTAACGAAAACAACGCCATGTATACGGAATTCCACGTGAATTTCATTTCTTTAGAATCGGACTCGCTCGGTCAAGATGAGCGATCTCTGCCAGATGAGTCTGACACTTCACTGCTCTTTCTACTTTATGTCAGAGAGAAGTTACGAATTTCCTGATCTTCGTGGTCTGACCAAACACTGGCCTTACACTACTGGCTCGCGCGAGCCATCCCTCCCGTCTTGTTCTTATTTCACTTTTATTGCTGTCGCTCGTGTTATTTTTCCAACTTCATAACGATTTAAAAAGCAATTTGGGGAATTAATGATGGCGGGGGAATCCCACAGAAGGGGTGTTATCTCCCGTGGAAAAACAAGCTTTGCCTTTATTGTAAAGCTCCGTTTTTATCAAATCGCGAAACATCAAACACTCTCTTTTTCTCACTATTCTTATTCTGCGAGAAATATAAATATATAATTTACTTTGGTTTAAATTATTATTCAAATGGATTAATATTATTGTAATAATTTTAATTTTTAGAATTATTATTATAAATTTAAATTTAATTATATTTAAAAAGTTATTGTATATTATTAAATTTAATTTCGATAATTTTTAATACATATAATTTTCTTTTCAACAAATTTATTATTATTTCATTTTATGTTCAAATCTAGTTTGTTAGTAATTTTTTATATAATTATAAAATGATGCATTATATTACCATTATTATATTTATCATTTAATTTATTAAATTTATTTTGTAGATTAAACTTTCGTATTTTAGAAATATTAGATATTTCGTATATTAATAATTTTAAATTTATTTATATAATTTCATCTTTTTTGATATGTTAATAATAATTTAAACTGAAGTCAAACTCTCTATTTAGAAACACTAAATGTGTTATCTGGTTTTCCTGTAAGAAAGTTGAAAGTTCGATTCTCAATCGCTCGGTGGGTTTTTTTTTCCATTCAAATTTAATCGGAAGATTAAAGAACCTTCGCGGACGAACGTGAATGATAATAGATAACGAAAGATAAGCACGTACAAACGTGTATTACGGCCCAAGGCTTCATTCTCAACAACGAATTACGCAGGAAACGATTCGCCTGTTACGATTGTATCGCGTTTCACGGCTTTCGTACGAAACGTTTGTGAAATCTCTTTTTCCTGTCCTTTCTGCTTCTGTATCAGTGGTTCTCAATCTTTTTTTGACTACGCTCCCACCATTGTGACACGTAATTCTTATTATTCAAAGAGTGAATTTTCGAGGTGGAGGACTATTAACAAACAAGCTCTTCCAAAGAACACGACGTGTCCATGAAAGAAAAAAAATTGAAAGGTTAAATTTTCATTCAAAGAAATGCAAAATATTCATATTTGTTAGTAACTCATTTTTGAGTGCCCCCCCCCCCCCCCCCCACCTGGAAAATTGCCCTGTGGACTCCACGTTTGTTGGTCTCTTATGTTTATATAAAATATATCAAATTATGTTATATTATATTTATTATATTATATTATAATATAGTATATTATATTATATTATATTTATTTAATTACATTATATTTCATATTTGGTCTCTGAGACTTTATATTTACATTTATAAAATGAACTAGACAAACATAATATAGGACATGTTGTTTAGACAGTTTTGTTTTGTTTAAATAATGTTTCGCAGTTTCAACGGTTAACAAAGGTTCTCAAAATGTAGAAAATTCTCCGCGTGGAAAGTCCGGAAAAATTCTTTGGGTTCAGGAGAAAATTCGCAAAGGATCTCTCACGAAAGAAACTCCTTTTTAACGTTCAGCAAAAAAGAAAGAAAGAAAAAACTACCTGTTCTCCGTATATTTTCGTGCAAGTGTACTTTGTTCGGTCGACTGACGCTCTCTGCAACAGAAGAAATTACAATCTTCCCTCCACCGGAACCGGAACATTTTGAACTTAGAGTTCGAGGCAAGAATTTCTCTCGTTTCTCCCCCGAGAACCGTGTTTTAGATAATACGTTAATGAGTCGAAGAGAGCTGCGAAAAGGTGAAAAGGGAAATGTTATATTTCGTTATATACAGGGTGATTCCCCTTAAAACCGTGTAACTTTTGTATTAAAAAATTTCTCATTAAATGTAAGTGTATTGCAAGTTACATGAATCACCCTATATGAAATATACTCATTATAAATATAATCATCGTATATGAAAAAATCGCGTTATTATATTATATATAATGTTTTATAAAAACAACATAGTCAGACAGTTTACCAAACTGAGAATCTTAATGAGTCGAAAAAATAAAAAAAAGGAAATATTATATATATATATATATATTTCCTTTTTTTTACCTTTAAATTTTATCTTTATAAAATCTATAATCTAATCTACAGTCTATAGATTATATAAATTATAATCTAATCTATAATCTAAGATTTTTTTATCTTTATAATATATATATATATTTATTTTATATATATATATATATATATATACATATACATAAAAAAATCATTTCATTGAAAAACAACGAACCAAATACATGAACGAACACGTGGTTTTTGGAATCACGGTACACAGTTAACCCCTTGTGCTGGCAACTGATTGCGGACCATAACGAGTGACCGAACCGTATACAGTAAATTTTCGCTTTCTTTTACTTTTGAACTCGGTATGATATCACCGGATAGGAATTAACAAGTGACAAACTTATCATTCGTTTTGCCTTGGTTGCGTTTAAATAATACTTAAAACTGAGAAAACGTTGCAATTTGGGACAAAAAATTCTCGACGTGCATGTCATTCCAGCGCAAGAGGTTGAAAGGAAAGGCGAAAGATGGTTGGACGTTTCCAGAGGAGAGTGGAGTGCCCCTTGATACTTGTATCTTGTTTTGTCCGTACATTTGGGTAACGAATGTCAAACGGTACGTGCGTAACTGGCACTCTTGTCTTATGCCTCCGGCGGTGACTTAATGACGGTTAGGGGGGGCCAATTTAATTGCATAGAATAAAGGACACTTGTGTAGCCCGCAGTTGATGCTCTTTATTGCGGAAGAATCGTTTACAACGCTTCGCGGTTGGCACTCTTGTGTAAGAGCTTGGGAAAGGAAAAAAAGAGGCTACGAAAATTTTCGACTCGCGAGTGATCAACTCACAATTTCATTATTACAGCATCTAACATCGTGATTATTATAATATATAATAATAAACATTAATAAAATTATTAAATAATATCAAATAATAATAATATACTATACTATATTATGTAACGTAAATAATATAAGAGAAAAGTTATATATAGAACGTTGAATTTTAAATGGTTTCTTAGTAAACTTAGAATTATAATATATAATAATAAAAATTAATAAAATTATTAAATAATATATTGAATAATATATTATATTATATTATATATAAGAGAAAAGTTATTATATAGAACGTTGAATTACAAATGATTTCTTAGTAAACCGTGAAAAATTCGGTACCTTCGGTTTTTGTACCTTTAAATTCTCTCATAAAATACGTAGCGATCTAATTATCACGGGTGGTGAATGTTTAAACGGTAAAACGAAAAAGGAGGAGATGCACGCGCCTCGTGTAAATCCGTTACAGGGGATATTACACGAATCCTCGATTTGGCAAACCGGCTTGGAAATCTCCTTTCGTCTTCTCTGTGCCTCTGTGTGAAATTAATTGCTATTGAAACAGCGCATGGAAGAAACTCCGTGACTTCCTCGGTCCTAATTAGAATTCAAAGTTTCGCTGTCCGTGTGTACAGAGCTCGGGACTCCTCGTGTATAGGTTGATAACTGTGATAACCTGGCTGAAATTGATTGTTAACTTCCTCAGTAACTGCGAAATATTGCATTTGCAGAAAGAGAGAGAAAAAGAGAGAGAGAGAGAGAGAAAAATTTTGATTATTTGTTCTAGCAAAATTGGCTGAAGATTCAGAATAAGGTCTTTTCACACCCGAGGGAATTTTCACTCCTTCGGTATTTTTTCTTTTTTTTTTCAGTGCCAAAAATTATGTTTTCTTTTTAATTTTTTAATAATTACTGCTGCGAATCGAATTCCTTAATTTTCAATTTAATGTCTCGATTTTTTAACAATTTCTGTTCAAAATCGAATTTCTTTCTTTACTTTCAATCGGAAAGAGGTCAGTTGAAATCCTTCTTCGCAGTTGTTTGACCGACAAATGGTCCCGAGGAATCTTCTCCGAAAAATCAGCGCCGGGTAATTTTTTCGCACGTTTCGTTTCAGTCAATGTTTCACTCTCGAAGTGAAAATGGGACGAGACGATAATTCAATTTTCAGGTTTACGCAGAATCGGAGTTTGCTAGATGTGCAGCGTTGCGTTATCTTGACAGGGGCCCCGTGAAATTATCGATATTCGTGATTTACGTGTTATTCCGTGATGTTTTAATCTCGGTGAATCAATTGCGTGAAACCAATCTTGTATGTGCGTGTATGTGTGTGTGTGTGTGCATGTACATACGTAGATTTCTCCAGTAGGGAGACGGTTGAGAAACTAGAGTAAAGGTTTGTAACACGTGTTGTTGTTGTTTGTTCGTTTATGAAGTTGCTCATCAGCATGGCTTCTGATCGTTCACTTAATATTCTTCAATTTCTGTTTTGTCCGTAGTAATTGTTCGGCGACGTTCGGCGAAAAACATCGGCTGAAGCACCACCGTCGACTGTGATATATCGTGACTGTGAAACACCTCTCCCCCTCCCTGCCCACCCACCCCCCCCGTGGAAGAAGAAGAAGAAGAAGAAGAATGCAGCCTCAGACGAGTTTCGTGATCGATTCCGATGAAAAGTAGAATAGCCGTTCTGCCCGGCTATTATGTCCACGAAGTTCAAGATGCCGGTGACTGGCGATGATGATGGGGATTTCATTAACCGCGGCGCGCTCCCTGCGGAGGATTCGTCGGTGTAACAGGAAATGTGACATGCTGCCGTTAATCAACTATGAGCTCCAAGAAGCACGCATCAGCGAGAAGTACATAAGTAGAATCTTATTGAAAAATCTCTTTTTTATCGTTTCGCATCTTGTAGACCAGTGGTCTACCACTTTTTTTCTTTTGGCTATGCCTGGTGCATCTAAGCGTCTTTAAAATCCTGATGCTCCATCCCTGTGGTGTATAATTTTTATTATTATTATTATTATTATTATTATTATTATTATTATTATTATTATTATTATTATTATTATTATTGTATTCTATTATTATTATTATTATTGTATTCTATTATTATTATTATTATATTCTATTATTATTATTATTATTATATATTATATTATTCAAAAAGTGAATTTTTAACGTGGAGGGAGTAATTTAGTTCTCAGTGCAACGTGAATCTTCTAGTAAAGTTCGTAAAATTTTTCTTTTCTTACAATTCATAACATTATTGATTCATAATATATACAATTCATAATATTATAAATTCATAATCGTATTTCGTTCTATTTTACTCTGTCCGTTAGTTCAGTTCGTTACTTTATCTCTAAATGTAATTGTACACGTATAACAACGGTGAACAAAACGCAAAAGTTCCAACGGATTTCTAGTAGGTGTTACGATTATTCGTGTTATTGTTCCGCGGGAACAATGGACGATCTTGTCGAAGCGTCATTGTGCATCGTTGTCAACGTGGCACAGTCAACTGTCGCAGTTGGCGAACAATCGGCTTAATCGAGTGAAATCGTGCCACTTTGAAAAATAAAAATTGAAAATACCGAAGCAGCGCGATGGCTACGTTGAAAACTACGTTGAATGTCACGTGTGACATACGACGTTTTAACACGTCGAGAATTTTTTGTCCCAAACTGCAACATTTTCTCAGTTTTGAGTATATTTAAGTATAGCCCAAGTAAAGCAAATAATAAATTTGTTACTTCTTAATAATTTCTATCCGGTGACATCGTGCCGACGAGTTCAAAAGAAAAAGAAAGCGACGAATTGTTGTACACGGTTCGGTCACTCGTTATGGTCCGCGAACCAGTTGCCAGGGGAAGGGGTTAATTTGAAGGAAAATTTCTCTAAGGCAAGAAACGAAAGCATCGTTCAACGATAAGAGTCGATAGTTCATCTCGTGGCGTTTCATTTTCATTAGTTTGAACAACCAATTGGATAAAGTAGCGAGTAAATAGTGACTCGGTGGGCACATCGATCATGGTCGGTTATACCGATGAACGTTCATCGTAATTAGATAAGCTCTATATATTGTTAAATAATTAATATAATGCATCGATCGGTTCGTTTGATACGTGCGGGCACCGGGGAGAGATTTGTAGATCTCGACGCCGGATAAATTTCCATACTCTGGATATACTTCCAAACAGAAGGAGATTATTTACAGCAGCTCAATTGGGGTGATGTCGGTGAATTTAGAGAGGAAACAACAATTTCTCAAACAAATACCATTCGAGAATTCCTTTCGGAGTCAAATGAATAAAATAATATTTTATTGCACGTGAAATAACATTTTCTGCGCGAAACAGACGATATCGCAAGATGTCTTGCGTCTTTTCGTTAGAATTTTCGAACGAGAAAAAGAGAATTTGATTTTGACACAAAAGATAAAAGTAAATTTCGTTTACTTCATTTTCTCCTGTTTCTCTTGCATAGAACTTGTGTATTTTTCTTTCTCTTTTTTTTCATAGAATCCAAGTATTTATTAATAATCGAACTATTTATAAATAATTGTCGATGCACGATTGCTATGAATATATATGTATCGATACGAAGGATCTAACGGCCTTGCACTCTTCCGCAACAAAATTATAAAAAGATTAAAATACGCGCGAAAGAGGAAGAACAAAAAAAAAAAAAGAAAGAAGAGGCTTTTAGTTTGCTTGCATGGAACAAAGTGCCACGAGCGTTGGATTTTCTAGTTGTTGGAAAATTTGCTCGACGATGAACAATCTCTGTCGACGTGATTTGACTGTATTAATCGTGTAAATCAGTAATAATACGACTGTTTTGTACGAAATTGGTCCTCTCGTTGTGTGGCTGAAATTAAGGAACAAATATAGTTAACAATAACATTAACAAATTAATGGAATATTATTCGAATAACGCGCTGAAATTAAAGGACAAGCACAGTTAACTAGAATGTATTTTCGAAGTTTTAAATAATTTTTGGTAAAAAATATGCAAATAAAAGTTTGTATTACAACTCCATTGTATTATAAAGTTTCTCTATTTTTTTTTTTTTTTTTTTTTTTTTTTTTTTTTTGGCTTCAATCTGTCTCTGAATGGAAATTTTATGGTTCAGTCTTAGTTCTAGTGTTAACAGTAACAAAGTTAATATTGGATTAATATTGGAATAACGCGCGGAGTACATAGTTGGTGAAGGTGAAGTCCAATTGAAAGAATATTGTCGTCCCCCTTTGTTTCAAGTGGCCCCGAGACAAAAGAGCGTCGAACGTCCTAGGTTGATCTCCGTGAGTTCCGTCGCCGAATGTGAGATTCCACGGGAATCTCTCTTTATACGCCTGTTGGCAGCGAGCCCGAATGAGGCGCGTAACTGTCCCAAACAATCCGACGTTCCTGACCGTACGGAGCGACGTTCCAGAGAATTCAGCCCGTTAAATTGTAGCACTAAGTAGTTACAAGTGCAATTTGTAGATAAGCGGTTCAACCTGTTACTGTTACGTTTAGAAATTGGCAATTTCTAAATTTTCGATGGGGGATCTTGTTTCCAAAGTTCATTTTACAGTTCCATTAAACAAGGAGAGAGACAGAGAGAGAGAAAGAGTCAAGTTAAGTCAAAGTCTAATAAAGTTGGTTATTGAACTCTGCATGATTTGATGGATCATTTCATACGCAATAGTCTACTAGTCAAATAAAATCTAATAAAGTTTTATCTAATGGTCACTGAATTCTGTGTGGATGATTTTACATGTGAAGTGTTGGATCATTTCATACACAAGTTCAAATTTATATAAGTCTATGTAAGTCTGTAAAGTTTATATAAATTTATATAAGTCAGTCTAAGTTTAGATAAGTCAAAGTTTAAATCAAAGTCTAGTAACGTCGGTTATTGAATTCTGCGTGATTTGGTAGATCATTTCATACACAACAGTCCACAAGTCAAATAAAATCTAATAAAGTCTAATAGTCAAATCAAAGTCTAACAAAACTGGTCACTGAATTCTGTATGGATGATTTTATAGATATATCAGTTTAGATACATATGTCTATACAAGTCTATTAAATATATCAGTTTAAATTTATACAAGTCTATATAAGTCAAAAGTCCAAGTTTAGATAAGTTTGGACAAGTCAAAGTTTAAATCAAAGTCTAATAAAGTTGGTTATTGAATTCTGCGTGATTTAGTGGATCACTTTATACACAACAGTCTACAAGCCATAGTTCAAATTGAAGTCTAATAAAATTTGTATATTAAAGTCTACTTGCGAGTGATTTTACAGGCGTGTGAAGCATGATGGATCGTTTCGTACAACGGTCTAATGTTTCCTCTGGTTAGCTGTTAAAATGGCCGAAGATTGGGGTGTACGGAGTGTAATCGATCCGAAGGGGGTACCAATGCTTCATCACAGGTCAATAGTCCCGATTTCCTCGGGCCAGGGTACCCTTGAGATTGTCTCTGCCCGATAGTACACTCATGTTCAACCGTATTATTCGCCAATAAATCGGCCGAGATTGTCGCAGATTCCTTTCGATTCACGGCGTTTCATTCGCGATGCTCGTGTTCGCCTCTACGAAAATATGAACGAATTGCTGCACGTTACTGTTATTGAACGACCGATACGTTAACGAATAACACAGTTTAATTGCTCGTGAGAAGTATAAAAAAAAAAAAAGACGCGCAATCGATTGCGGTTTCTCAATTTAATCCAGAAAGTAGGAGCCAATAACTGCTGTAAGTAGACCGTGTAACGCGATAAATAAATAATGTAGGAATATATACGGTGCACTGTGCACGAGCCAGAGAATCATTAGTCATTTGAGTGATACAGAATGATCGAAAAATTGAATCGTATGAAATTAGGAGATATCGTGATGCCTTGTGAGCCTATTTATAAAAATGTTCTTCCAGACGACTTCCCAGCCGGGGCTTTCCAGATTATTTTGTTAATTTCCTGCGTTTCCTAAGCTAATCGGTTCGTTAGCTAATTGCATTAATTTCTTAGGTAGTTTAATTAGCCGTTCGAATAACTTCGTTAAGTATTCATATAGAGCTGCCATAAGTTTATCAACCAGCTTAGGTAGAGCTATCAGAGCGCAGCAAATAGTTAGATTATATTATTGGCTGTATCATAAACTCCTTATTTAGATACAATTTTATCTTTCGAATTCTTTGAAAATTCTTTCATCAATTAACTCTCGATCAAATCAATTTCTCTGATGATACTAAAAGAATCAAGGAGGTGCACTTTCACAGATGCAGGTTTTCAAACGTTCAACGTTTAACGTGGAAACGTTTAATAGTATATATGGTCTCTCGTATTTGTTTCGACCTTTCGCGAGATTCGCTAAAGGGGGCCACTCGCATTCAGAGATTGCTTATTCACTTTAGCATGGGGCGGATATTTATCTGTCAGAGCTAGTGGAACGCTGCAATATCAACCGGAGGGGGGGGGGACGTTTCCGACTTCGACACTTCGTTCAAGTCCTTCTCCTCTTTCGCCAATGTCAATTCCCGCTTCGCAAGTGTGTTACACTTTGAAATTCCGTAGTTAACATTTTAATTAAATGCTTTTGTTAATTGAACGTGAAGCGCGGCGCGATGAATTGAAAGAGATAAAAGCACTTGGGAGGAGCGCGCGCGCTCCGAAACGCAATCGAAAGGGATGAAAGTATTTAGAATGGAGTTTCAAAATAAAAGGGGAGCGCCTGTTAAGTCTATTAGAAACCTTTGGGTTGTTTCGAGAATGGAAAGAAGACTTTTTAAATGCAATTTTATCAAATTTTTAAGACCAATTTCAACGATGAAAAAGAAAAAATTGTACAAACTTTAAGGGAGAACTT